TGTTCACTGCTGTGTGTGTGCACTAAGGATGGGTTAAATGCAGAGCACTAATTCCTAGTATGGGTCACCATACTTGGCCACATGTCACGTCACTCACTTAAAAAAAACTTAACTGGAAATAACTGTTACCCAGCCTTAATCTGTTTATTGAACTTTTATAATACTAAAAGGATAAAGATACAGCAGAATCGAAACAAATATTTTCCCCACACTATCCACCAACCCAAATACAAAACTAAATTACACACACAAAAAAAGCCCGCAATACATAATTATAGTGTCAATTATGTATAATAAACTTTGAATCAGAGTTTAGAAACAACAAAAAAAAGAAATCGCCCAAGTACATTATACACATTAATATCAGCAAACGAAGCATTACAAATATAAACTCTGTACATACAATGCACACAGCCTACTTGTACTTAATACACTTTTGATTAAAATCAAGCCACGAGCATAAGGACATAATAATGATTAGATTGACAGATTACAGAAGAAGAATTTGCATAATCAGAAAAAATAATAATAAAAGGGTCCCAAGTTTCAGAAAATATGCCAGTATTGCCCTACAGCACCAGTTCTTTTTGTCTGATATAAAGTTATGCTGCTACATATTTATTTAATACTGTATAATCAACTAAAGTTGGTTCCATTTTAGTTAACAATTTCACTGACTTAACATGACGTCTAACAGTAGTGAAGTTGGTGCTTTTTTTCAAAGCAATTAATACCTTTAATCAGAAAGGAAGCATTAAATTGATAAAGTGTTATTAAGAAATGTATAATGTTATAAAATATTATTTCAAATAAATAGAAATAGGTTTCCACAAATAAAATATTAAGCATCCACAACTGTTTTCAACATCGATATTCATCAAATTGATTTGTGTCACTTTAAAAACTGTCTGCTATATGACTAAATGTAAATGTAATGTATAAAAAAAAATGTATAAAATGTAATGTATAAAATGTTAACAAAATGATACTTACATTTCTATACTATAAAAAGCCAATCGGAATCCATCAGACTGTAAAGAACTTCAGCATTTAGAGTGGCAGATGACATAACTGCAGCACACAATTATTATAAACAGACTATATGTTGGTGTGGACGCTAATATAGTTATCGTTATAGTTATTTTTCTCAGTGTGAATACTATTCATAACGCCCAGGAAATCTCACTAAATGAAGCCCACATTCACAGCACCACACAGTCACTCTGATGTAAAAGAGATAATCAGTCATGCAGTCTTGATAATGCAAAGTCTCTTTCACGCGTCACACATAAATCACGTTGATGTGTATACACAAGCAAAATGTTGCCAAGTTAGATATCTGGCAGGTTGTTGCTTTCTACTACTGGGGCAATAATACAAAGTCCTGTTCTCTTATACTGCTTTACAGCATGAAGAGGCTAAACGGACCATTTATTTTAGGATCCAAAACAATAAAAACTACCCTTTTAATATAAGCATTTACCTGGTGTACAATTTTGCCAAAGGCTTCCTGAAGTTTACCATGAATAGTGGCTAGTTTCTTGGCATCCCTGTTGGCCTCGTGAACAGGAATGAGCACTTTGTAGACTTCGTTCACTGCTTCATACAAACCAGCCTGGAGACAAATAATGAAACACTGCTTCAACAAGCTAAATATTATTATACATAGCAAACAAATAAATTAATAATTCACCCAAAAATGAAAATTTGCTGAAAATGTATTCACCCTCAGGCCATCCAAGATGTAGATCATCTTCATTGGAACGGATTTGGAGAAATTTAGCTTCACTTGCTCACCAATGGATCATCTGCAGCGAATGGGTGCCATCAGAATGAGAGTCCAAACAGCTGATAAAAACATCGTAATAATCTACAATTGATCGACACAACTCCAGTCCATCAATTAATATCTTGGGAGGGGGAAAAAAAAAGTCCGCAATCCATGATAATGCTTCCTCCAGTGAAAAAGACCATTCTCTGTTGTCCTCTCACATCAAATCCACCAACATATCTGTTTGTTTAGAACTGTTTTGGACTGTTTTCACTTGTAAATGTAGCTTGATCTGTGTACATTTATCTTCTGACAACATTTTTTCAGTGGAGAAAGCAATATTATGGATAGAGGACTTGTATTTTTGAAGCAACGATTTGAAGTTAAAAAGGTCTTAATAAATTTGTTTATAACAAACACGGAGCTTTTCACTTCACAAGACATTAATTGATGGACTGGAGTTGTGAATTATTGTGATGTTGTTATCAGCTGTCTAAACTCTCATTCTGATGGCACCCATTCAATTCAGAGGATCCTTTGGTGAGCAAGTGAAGCTAAATTTCTCCAAATCTGTTACGATGAGAAACAAATTCAACTACATCTTGGATGGCCTGAATGTGAGTAAATTTTCAACAAATTTTCATTTTGGGGTGAACTATTCCTTTAAAGCAAACAGAATGTAGTCAAAGTCATAGTAGAGGTCTTTTAAGCCACAGAGTAAATAACACACCATAGAAAAGGAGGCTGCAGCCTGTTCCAGCAACCCAACTAAGCCTGCCTCAGTGAAGTACTTCCCAGAGCAGATGCCCTCCTCGTCTGGGGACACCACGTCATCTGACACAGCAGATTCTTCCAGCACATTAGAGGAAATGTTCTGTAGTGTGACAAACATTTCATTAATATATTACATTAAAAGAGTAATCGACTGGCTCTTTATTCTCTGTGTCACAGTGTGTGGCAGGAACCTGAAAGGTGACACAGCCCACAGGCAGGTACTTGCGGTCCTCCAGCATGCTGAGGTACTCCGCCACCAGGGCGGCGCTGTGTACTAAGCACTGGGCTGCCTCTGCATGATTATTCCTCTCTGAGTGCTTCCCGGCCATATTTTGCAGCCAGGTCAGTCGTAGATCTGGGGATGTCTGGTAGCCCTTAGCAATCCTACATAACAGAAAGAATATTTTATTTTGTCTTGATAAATACTTAAGCTCACTAAGTCTGCATTTAATTGACAAAAAGTACAGTAAAAATAGCAACAAAAAATAATATAGTTAAATAGTAAAAATAGTAAGTTTTCTATTTGATATATTTAAAAATAAAATTTGTTCCTGTGAAGCTGAATTTTCTCCATTACGCCAGTCTTCAGTGTCACATTATCATTCAGAAAGCATTCTAATTTTCTGATTTGGTGCTCAAGAAACTGCTTAATATATCTGTGGAAAATACAATTCATTTTCTTTAAAGAATATAAAGTTCAGAAGAAAAGCATTTATTTGAAAGAGAAATCTTTTCTAACATTTTACATATCTTTAATGTCACTTGTGACTTTGGAATGGTAGTGTATAATTTATTAAAAATGAAAATTAAATGAAAAATGAAATAAATAATAGTTTTAGCATAAATAGTATGTTACAATTATGACATTTTTAATGGGTTTAAAACTAGCTACTTTACATGTTAGGTTAACTTCATGTCAAATAGCGTATCTAATACATTCAATGGTTCTCTTAATATAACAATGTGATGTTAAATCCATTCTGCAATGTAAGAAACAATACCTGTACATCAGATCAATTAGCATCTCTGGATCTTCTTGATGTTCCTTCATTTTTACTGTGTCCGAAAGAATCATGTGCAGGTTAAACACCAGATCTTGAACCTGAAACCAGAGACAAAATCAGTGTTTTGTGTCAGGAATTAGTAAATAGATGGAGGAAACAGATTTATGAACCTCACCTGGTCAGGAAAGGTGGTTTCTCTGAGCTCTAGGTCCTCTTCTGCATATGTGAGGATGGTCTTGAGTGAACGCCGCAGAAACTCCTCATTGAAGTTCTGGGACGTACCCACCAGAGACGAAAGAGACATGGTCACCTGCATTTTCACTCGTGCAAAGTTCTGCAGAAAAGAGAACAAACACACACAATTATAAACAGAGTCTAAATACGGTTTAAAAAATTAAAGTAATAAATATTTATACAAATATAATATTTAGTATATATACACAATACATAGTTTATACATATCTATTTTTATAATTTAATATACATATCTATATATAATCTATTTATAAATGATATGTATGTACTCATACATACATACTATTTTATAAATATACACTACTGTTCAAAAATGTGAGTTCAGAAGATTTTTTTTTGAAGGGAATTTTTTTATTTAGCAGGGATGCATTAAATTAATCAAAAGTGAGAGTAAAAACATTTAAAATGTTACAAAAGATTTATATTTCAGGTAAATGCTGCTCTTTTGAACTTTCTATTTACTAAAGAATCCTGAATAAATGGTTAAAAAAAAATAATCAAGCAGCACATTGCAAAATCATGTGACACTGAAGACTGGAGTAATGGCTGCTGAAATTTCTGCTTTCCCATCACAAGGATAAATTATATTCTAACATATATTAAAATACAAATAAGTTAAATTCTATTAATATTCTATTAATTCTATTAATTTCACAACATTAATGTATGTCTTTAGTGTAAACTTTTGAATAGCATTGTATTAAATAATATAATGCTGCAAAAAAATGAAAAATGGCATATCTGTTTATGTGGTATTGTGGTACAGAACTGAAGGGTGCAAACAATCCACTAATACTTATGGTGATTATGACAAAGTGTCTTTAAGTGTTTCTCACATTTCCAATCTCAAAGTTCTGTCTCATGAGGAGGTAGAGGGAGGCACTGGCGTGGGCTCTGATGGTGCTGATGCTACTGCTACAATTCCTCAGGAGCCGCAGGCACAGGTCAGCACACTGCTCGGTCTCCTCCTCAAACAGCAGCTCTGGAAACTAAACACACATTAAGACTTATACACTGCCACAAGAGATCACACTTCATAAATAAAAGCTACACTATTTCATTTAAAGAGTAATCACCAAGCAAAATTGCGTAGATCAGCTGCAGCTACATTGTTCAATAAAAACTCAAAATTCTGGTCTTTGACCTGATCAGCGTTCACTCACCTTTGACACGAGAGCTCTCTGTGTAGCGAAGCAGTGTTGCAAATATAGGGCACTTTGATTACATGCCATGCTGTGTAGCAGGACCTTCAGAACCCCTCCCAGAATGCTTTCTTTGGACTCCGTCACTGACACCGTCTACATGGCACATAGAGGAACCATAATAGTTATGATAAATGTCTTCTGTGTTAAAATATTGTGAGTTACTGATAGCAGTTGAGATCATTACCTGAACTATTATTTCTAGCGTATCCAATATGATGAGATTAGCTTCAGTTGCCAGGTTGCCATCAATAATTGCTTCATGCTCCAGCTCAGCCCTGGTCCTGACAAACAATGGGGTAATGAATGTTTAGAATGGTGCAATATGGCAGGTACAACAGCAAGCGGATCCTTGAATGCCACAGCAATCTCCACACAAGCATTCAAGTGAGTGTATACAGATGAAGGATGTCCTCTGCATACAGACCAAATATTTAGATCCATTTGTACATAGTTGAGTAATATTTTGTCCTTGCCTTTGTTGTAAAAATCCTTAAAATGTTAACCTAAACTTTGACTTATATACATTACGTACATTAATCTTTATGCTTTAAAAAAGTATAATGACAGTAATAAAAAAAGCTCTAATCTATATAATACAGACTTTGATTTTACTCATATGGACTTAATATTTACACATGAATTATTATTATTATTATTATTAAATGAACTAAATATTTACAAATAAATAAATAAGTTCTAATCTGTACAGTACAGGCCAGAATTTTTACCTATGGACTTAAAATGTATATTTTGATGATGATCTTAATAATAATAATAATAAAATGCACTAAATATGTAAATATTAAAACCAAATATTTAAATATACAATATATAAATACAAAATACAAATATATAAATATTATAAAAACACATATTTAAAAATCTATAAATACATTTTGTTTTTAATCTGTAAAATATATACTTGAACTTGAATGAAATAAAATTAAATAAAATAGCAATACAAATATTGAATGCACTGAATATTAAAAAAATAAAAACAAATATCTAAATATTAACAAAAAATTAAACAAACAAATACATGTTCTATAACCTAATCTTTGGAGGTTTGAGTTTGGCCTGATAATTTAAAAGAGGTTTAATGATTCCCGTGAACTGTAGATGTGTAAGCATATCCTAGTGAGCTTACAAACCTAACTAAGAAGGGCTCCTGGCTTCTCCCATTGTGCAGAGGGATTCCCTTAAACCTGTGTGGTATATGATTCATTCAAAAGAGGCCACACACAAACAGCTGTATCATAACCCTTCAAAGGGAAGGAATGAGCCATCGCCCTGTCACAGACTTGGCTGATTATTGTTAGAAGCAGAGAAGGTGGTCTGTTGTTAAAAGGTTTTTGAAAATGTAGCATAATACTGTATTGTTTAACTGTAACTCTGCAACTGGAGGTTCACTGTGTACATATATTGTGCAATCCGTGGTTAGGCTTTACTCATCAAGATATTTTATTTTTTACAAGTTAAATGCTAAATTAAACTTAAGCATTTAGTATAGTCATTTATTCAATTTAGACCCCACAGGTAAATCATAAAATGTTTTTTTCCCCCCTGCGGGTTTACTTTAAATGCAATTTAATACTGAAATTCAGTTTGCACACAGGGGCTCCAGGAGCTAGAGTAGCATTTTAAAAGGGGCCACAGTAATATGAATTCCCTGTGGGTGGTCCACTGAATAGGATTTGTTTTAAAAAAGTGTTGAATTGTACGGAAGCACCCACACTGCCAGGCACTTGCCCCTTTGAAACAGGGAGCCAAGTGATTACAGAATCAGGCCTGTTATTCAATGGCATCAAACAATTACCATCAGCAACATGTTTCAATATAACTAAATTAATTAAGACCAGTGGTTCTCAACTGAAGGGCCACGACCCACTAAGGGGCTTCAGAAAAACAGCAGCAAAATACTTTAATCACTACATATGAAGTTGGATTAACTAAAGGATGAGTTTTTTACTCCAATGAAAAACATGAATACTACATGTGCCAGGTAGAACTCAAAATGGCAAACAAAAGCTTTCACTATAGTACATAACCATTTACCACACCTTGTTACAGCACAGTAGGGCTATTGCAAACAGAAACAATACTGTACTACATAGATGTTTCCTGTTCCGATGAGCATGGACGGTATATGAGTGGAGCACTCACATGGGCCGTGAGCGAAAAAAAAACTAAACAAGCATAATTCTGAAAGCGCTAAAACTCACCATGAGTGTCGAGCAGGCTCAGTGTTGACCTGAATGACTGTAACAGCTCATGAATTACAGGTGAAAATCACTCAGATGATGATGATTCCAGTGGTTTAGAAGGACAGGATGCACACACGCATAGAGCGGGATAATACGCAGAGCGTCACACCACGTGAAAGTGAATCCTGAGCGGTGAACTAATTTTCGGCAGCCGGAATTTCAGTGCATCTCTAATTATTGGCGACATCAGAAATGGATATTATATAATAGCTGCTTTTTTGAACATTTTAACAATTTTAAAATATTAAAAAAGGATTTTTTACACGGCACCCCTGCTCTCGACAGACGGCACCCCGGTTGGGAAACACTGACCTAGACAATTCTTTGCGGAGAAATACTAAGTGACACCAGCAAACACTGCATCTCATCAAGACAAAATACTCTTAAACATTCTCATTCATTGTGTTGTGTTAAGCACTTCTAACACAATTGCAAAACATTTGTTTAAACTAAATGGTTTCATACAGGCATTTTTTTATACAAGCTATTTAAAAATATATAATGAAGCAATTTAAAGTAAAGAAAAATGAGAATAAAGTCAAATAGTACGATATCAAAGTCAAGTTCTCTGTCAAAATCTTATTGAAGTTATATTTTGTAATAGTACTTTTCCCCCCTAACTTTTTCTCCCCAATTATTATTTTTTTCCCCTCAAAATACATGACTTTTACATGAAAAACTACAAAATATTCCTTATCACACACACACAAAGAAAAAAAAACTATTGTAGTTTTACAAGGTTTTAAGCAGCTCTGTGTCACATGAATATGATGAAAATAATGCGGCAGTCGAACACAAGCAACAAAAATGTTCTGTTAATAAGTAAATGTTTAAAACATGATTTTACATTTTTTATTATATTATTTTTATTTTATTAGGATTAGGATCATGGAGGAATAAAGGTTGAGAACCACTGAACTCACAACGGACAACTGCCACCATGTTAATTCTCCAAATGAAATCACAATTAGATACAGAATGTGCTTGGAAAAGAAGTTAAAGAGAGCAATATGACAACTACAAAATATACTTCTCATAGCTCATTAACTTGACAGTAAATATTAGGTTAACTACATTACATTTTTAAATCACATTCTACATGTGTATGTACCCTTATGGCTAAATTTTGGACCTGAGAGGCTGGTTAAAGAGCCATGCTGCACTCTTGTTATAAACAAACTGGTTATAACAGAATCACATCATCCAAGCTGCATCCTACTCCATCTTCCCAAATAAACACACAATTATTGGTCTGAATCAGATTCTGGTCAGTGGTCAGTAATAACTGCATCCAAGCACCAGTAAAGGAGAGCAGAACCAAAGCAAGAGGGGGAGGGCTTTAAAATTCAGGTCTGAAGCAAAGGAAGGGTCACTGAAAGCAAAACACACTTTAGCTGTACAATACCTGACTGAACCCTGGCCCCTAAATAAACAGTACATGAAATAACAAGGCCAAATAAAGGGATTATTGGAAGTCAAACGGTTAATGGTTGTTTCTGTATAAATATGGAGAAATATGGGTTATTATTATAATTTTTTTCCCTTTTTTTACACTCTTACTACTGGACTTATCTGACCAGATTAAAAAGTTTGTACTTGTATCAGTTACGTTACATAATTGAAATGGAAGTCAAAGTTCACCCTACTTTAAATTTAGCTCAGGAACACACTAAACAAAAATTAAGTAAAGTAAAAAGAATAAAAATAAATTAATATATTAAATAAAATCATACTTGTCCATCTTTTCGCTGGTCTGACGCCAATGAGTCATGTCTTTTCTCCAGCGCAGGTTCTCCTGGCTGCCAAAAGCACTGCCTGATGGACTTCTCTCTGTGGAGGACAAAAGAAAAGAAAGGGCAACACACACATCAAGTTATGTCAACCAAGTTATGTCCAACAGAATATTGTTTATATATATATATATATATATATATATATATATATATATATAGCGTGCGTTGGTG